AACCAATGTCATAAAACAGCATGTGTACTGTTACATGAGAAACTATCTGTTCTGTAAGCCTTCACCTGAAGTACAATAAAATATTTAAAAAAAAAAAAAAGACAACCCAGTTAAAAAATGGGCAAAGGATATGAACAGACACTTCGCCAAAGAAGACATTCAGGTGGCTAACAGACCCATGAAGAAATGCTGAGGATCATTTGCCATTAGCGAAATGAAGATCAAAAAGGCGCCCTGGAAGGCATGGCCCCTGGACTCTCTATCACCCCAGAACTAAAACAATTTCCGAGGCCAACTCTTCAGACAGGGATTGGACTGGACTGTGGTACATGAAGTGATACTTGTGAAGAATGTGCCTCTTAGTCAAGTAGACACAAGAGACCAAGGGGGCAGCTTCTGTCCAGAGGTGAGATGGGAAGGCAGAGAGAGTCAGGGGCTGGTTGAATGTTCATGGGGAATCAGGGGCAGAGGGGAGGAGTGTGCTGTTGCAGAATGGGGTGAGCGGTTGGGGTCACATAACAATGTATGTAAAAAAAAAAAATTTCTGTATGGAAGGCTAACTTGTAATGTAAACTTCATTTAATTACAACAATAAAAAAAAAAGCTAAAAAAAAAATTTAAAAGGAAACATTAATTTTAGTAATACATTGTATTTAATCCAATGTATGTCAAAGATTCATTTCAATACATAATCAATTAAAAAACATATTAATATGTGAAAAAAAAAAAAAACCCCATGGAGCACAGCTCTTCTCTAATACACATAGTGTTGGCATGAGTGTGAATTTACTCAAGGCACTGGTTGTTCTTTTTAAGAAGCAATCAAATGTACTTTATTTTATCCAAGTACAGTGCAGTAAATTCCCTTGATTTCGAATATTTATAAAGCAACCAAGAATGGTTGCCATTGAGTTGATTGCAATTCATGGCAACCCCATGCGTTATAGAATAGAACAGCTCCCTAGGGTTTTCTTGAGCTTAACCTTTACAGAAGCAGATCACAAGCCTTTCTTTCATGACGCTGATGGTAGGTTTGAACCACCAAACTTTCGGTTAGTAGTCAAGCTCAAACCATTTGCTTCACACCGGGATCCCGTTCAGCTGGATTCTAAATTAAAAGAAAATGTTCATAATCAGAGACGTGTTTATATGTCAATTATCTTCACAAGTTTTGATCGTTCTTTAGTTTTCTGACATCTAACTTATATGGAAATACATGGTCATTCAAATTGTGGGTTGCCTCTAAAAACTTTTTAAATATGTATTCTCTCTCTTGGCTTTAATGTACATCAAATTTTGATAACTACATGTTTGATAAATACACAAAATCATGCAGCATTGCTGATTCCAAAGATGGCATTAGTGTAAAATGCACCAATGATTAACAAATAAATTACTTTTAAGAAACACTCTGTTCCTGTTTTTCACTGTGTATACACTGATATTTGCATCAATACTACACGTCTCAGAAAAATGGTGTTCAATTGGCTTTTTCCTTTATTTATTTCCATTCTCTTTTGACTTGATAAAATGCTGAAATATGTTTCCCATCCTTAATGTTTGGAAAGTGTTGTTTCCTTATCAAAGCAACACTCTTATTTACAAATGACGAAATTAGGGCCAGGCTGTCCAAAGCCAGGTTTGAAACTCAGCAGTCATAGGCCTGCTTAAGAGCTTTCCAAGTCAACCCTTCCTTAGCAGGGGGATTGGAATTCTCATTTCAGCTCCCTGATGGCAACCCACTTCTTCATTTCTCTTGGTAGTTCCAATATGATTTTATTTGGGAAAGTCTAAAAGTGAAAATAACAGAGAATAATATGCAATAACACATTGGTAATTTGAAAAGTTGTTGAAATATACATATTAATTAAGCCTACTGTTAAGAGTTGTAGAAAGAAATTAGATTAAATAGTACATATCAAATGCTTACACCAGTGGTTCCCAGTGCTAGTGGATCATTATAATTATCTATGGATCTTTTAAGATATACTGATGAGCTGGCCACAACCTAGAACCCATTGAGTCAGACTCTACATGTGAGTCCCTTGGTCACCCTGAAGTACAGCCAGGGTTGACAAACATGGCTTTAGATTATTGCCAGGCACTTAGTAAGTGTTCCATCAATGTGATCTATTATTAGCATTAATACTCACTCCCAACATTAATTATATAAACATTTAATAATATTTGCTTCATAACTCATATTTCAGAGATTTAAAACGTCATCAACAAAATTTGAGTTTTCTTGCTCTCTGTGTATGGTCCTATTCCTCCACACACCTGTTCCCCAAAAGGCAATCTCTGTCATAAATTTTGTGGGAATATTTTCCTCTCAATATTTTCATAATATTATCATATTATGTATCCATAACCAGTTTTCTTGAAAATGTACCTGAATAATACAATCCTACACATATTATCCTGCAAAAGTTCTCATTTTCTAAAACATTGTGTTTTAATTGTCTGTGGGAAGTATGTACATCTATTTCACATACATTAAATGGTGCGTGGTATTCCTGAGCAAAGGATCATTTTATTCTAATTTCTCATTGAGACCCTTATAGTAAAATTCTTATTTAACTAACCATATTATACAATTGAGAATTACTATGTTATACGTGCATGGAGAATAGTTGTTTGAGGTGTAAAACTGATGTATGTCCAAATTTATGATTAATTGCCAACATTTGCTTACCAGTAGAAAGTCAGGCACAACTACGTGCTCTTACTGTCAAGTATGGAATCACAAATATCCATGAAAGTTGTCTGGTAATGGTCATTCCATTATTGAGCCACATGAAAAGTACCATCCTGTATAGGGAATAATATTCTGTAGCTCACATTTCCTAAGTATGCAGTAAAATGCTTTTCTAGTCATGGAAAACCCTACAATCTGTAAAATTCACGTTATGAAACTCTCTGTAAACCATTGTCCCATTTTCTTAGTTTACAGACCAACTCTCCGAGCTGTAAGAGGAAGAATGAATGGTTCAGTCTCCATTTGCTCAACTGAAAAGAAACACAATCATTCAGTTCTGGTTCAGGAGACAGAGCCCTGGCATAGGAATCAGGTAAGCAAGGTCTAAATCCCATATCTTTCACACTGTAAGTTTGGAGTCCATGTAAATCTCTAAACCTCTCTTATCCGGAAATAGGGGGAATAATACTCACCACTAGTATGCATGTAGCAGCTAACAAAGGTTTGGCACTCAGTAAATACTTGGACATTGGTTTAATCATAATTTAAATCAATATGAGAGTAGAGGATTTATTATTGAGATAAAATGCCAGTTTTATTTGATTATATGGGAAAGATAGAAGCCTAATATGCCCCAGGAAATTTGAGCATAGAATTTATTGAAATCTTAAAATGTGCTTAGGTTCACACTATAAGATTTACTTTCCCCCTTCTCTTTCTCCATTTTTCATTTTTCTTTTTCAGTTTTATGAAAATATTAACAATTTTTTGGAAAATAATTGAATGTTGTACACTCTTTTAAATAGGTCCCATAGAAATTCCATGATAGGGACATATTCATGCCCTATTTTTTCTTGTCTGTAGTCCTATGGAACATCCTTGGGGGGATGACAGCACAGGCAGGAAAGCTCTCAGTGTGGAAGCAATACAGCCTACACTCTGATCCTGTGAACCCAGGAACAAAGGAACCAAAGTATCTATTCCATATTTAACACAGATTTGCTGTTGTCATTGTGGTTGTAGTCTACTCTGTGCCAAGCATGGGACAGGCTCTGGCAAATCAGAAATGAGTGAGACTCAGTTGTTTCCTTTCAAGCATTCTTATACATTCTTGTATAAGGATGAAAATAAAATTCTCTTACAGGGATCCAGACAAAACAAAACCTTCAGATCACAGGATACTTTAGATGGATGATATGAAGTTTCATCTAATTTATATTAATAATAATGTGTAAAATGAATGTGCCCTGACTATATCCATTATATAGTTAATCACATATGTAATATCCATAATCTGTTCAATCCTTACAGCAATGTAAATCTCTCCCTGTATCAGCTGTAGATAAACTCAGAGGACAACATGGAGTCTTAGAGATACTAAGAATTTGCCCCATGGCACACAGATCATAAGAAAAGCAGACAGGATTCACAAGTAAATTGTACATCACTGAGGCCCATGCACTAACCATCTTCACTCTGTTTTCTCATATTTCAAAATGTTTACAGCAGAGATCCTTGGGATCTAAACAAAGATACATCTAAGTTACACCTTTAAACTCACCCCAGTGTCCTGACTAGGAACAGAACCCAAGATCCTATCTTTATGTCTCCAAGAATGAGATGGGCTAAATTACAAGAATGAAAGG